TAGCCAGAAATAATGAGAAACTAGAGACATTTATAGCTAAATGGATGCACATTGAGGTGATACTCTTAAGTGAAATAAATAGGACATACATGTATAAATACCAAATAGTTTCTCTGGTGTGAGAAACTGAAAATGTAAATAAGGATCAAAATGCATAACAGATAATGTGAAATAGGAAGAAAAGGTCCAAAGGGGAAGAGGAAGTGGGAAGGGTAGGGAAAAGGAAAGAAAGGAAAGGAATACATATGAGAAGAGGAAGAAATGGAAACAAAGACTGTAAATAAGGAGGGGTGGAGGGGTTGAAGGGAGGGCAGGGGAATGGGGAAAAAAATAAGAACAAAGATATATTATGTAAAGGCACAAACTCCCAATAATGAATGTCATTATATTGTATACCTAAAATGTACCAATAAAATTAATGAATTTTTAAAAATAAATAAATATAGATGGTTTCTAGGATTATAAAAAGATTATCACTTTGAACTTGAATGAAATTACCAACTCAGACAGTAATTATCTATGCATCAACCCTTGAAGGTTGATGAGGAGCCTCACCATGGAGAAATCAGTCTGTCATCACCTGAGCCCACCCTGTGTGGAACATCTACCCAGTGAGTGATTGGGCACTGGTCCCCTGTGACCTAGTCATGCCCCCCTCAAAGCTTACCCTGACTTAAACATCCAGAGATAAGTTCCATTTAGAGAAATGTGTGAGCTAGAAGAACATTCCACAAGACAGATGCCACAGTTTCAGCAATACAGTAGTCCTCCCTTATCTGTGGTTTCACTTTCTGTGGCTTCAGATATCTGTGGTCATCTGTGGTCCGAAAATATTCAATAGAAAATTTCAAACAAGCCATTCTTCAGTTATAAATTTGGCACCATTCTGAGTAGCAGGATGAAATCTCACACCATCCCACCCAGGAAGTGAGTCATCCTTTTGTCCAGCATGTTCATAATCTATAATTTATATGCTTCTCACCTGTTACTCAACAAGTAGACATCTTGGTTGAGATGGACTGTCACAGTATCAAAAGTGCTTGTATGCAAGGTTTAGTACTATCTCTGGTTTCAAGCATCCGCTAGGGTCTTGAAACATCATCCTCCCCAGATAAAGGGGACAAATGTAAATCAGTGGCCCTGGGAAAATGAGACAGTGCATGCTGTAGATAAGAGGAGGTTTAAGAGACTGAACACAGATGTAATGTGTGGACCTTGTTGGAATTCTGACTTGAAAACACCAACTCTAGAAAACCATTTTAGGGACAGTTGGGAAAAGTATGGACTAAGTATTGGAGGATACCAAAAATAAAAGTTAATTTTACCAGTGAATTACATTCAGGTTATATATAAAAGCATCATATTTTATCTCTCCATATTTTCTCTCTCCTGAAGCCTGTGTGTACTTCATCTACTTTTCTATAATTTAGATATTATTTTTTAAATTTGTAATTGACGTGTAATATTTGTACATATTTATGGGTACATTAGAATAATTTGATGCATGTTTACAATGTGTAATGATCAAATCAGAATAATTAGCATTTCTCTTTAAATATTTGTTAATTTTATGTGTTGGGAACCTTAAGATTCTTCTGAAGTGTGTAATAAATTATTGTACAGTGTAGTTATCTTACTGTGCTACAGAACACTAGAACTAATTCTTCCTGTGTTTTGATGTCTGTTTTCTGACCTGTCTTTATTCTTTCTTTCTGGAGTAAAATCCAATCTCAGTGTTGTTTTAATTTGCATTTCTCTAATGGCCAGAGATACTGAACATCTTTTCATGTTGGCTACTCTTACTTCTTCTGAGAAATGTCTATTTATTGCAGTTGCCTATTTTTTATTGAGTGTTTTGTTTGGGGAGGTCTAATTTTGTTGAGTTCTTTGTATGTTCTAGATACTAGTTCAGTTTCTGAGATGTGGCTGGCAAAATTTTTTCCTATTCTGTAGGTTATGTCTTCACTCTTTTTTTCTCTTGGTACCAGGGATCAAACTCGGGACCTTTCACTTTCGAGGCAGGCACCAGAACCACTGAGCTAAATCCCCAGCCCTCTCTTTACTCATTTGATTATTTCCTTTGCCGTGCAGAAGCTTTTTAATTTGTTGTGATCCTATTTGTTGATTCTTGATGTTATTTCTTGTGCAGTTGAGATCCTGTTCAGAAAGTCCTTGCCTACTATGACTTCAAGAATCTTATCTATCTTACCTTGCAGCAGATTGTTTCTTTTTTGATATTTAGATCTTCGATCCAGGTTTCCTCAGGCCACACATATGGGGCAGGCTGATTCCAGGATGGGAAGTGCTCTTACTCTCACGGCCATATGAGTGTCACCACCAGAGTTCTCTCCTGTCCAACCATGCTGTCACAAGATGGGTTTAAGGGCCCAGCAAGGCTTTGGATGAGGGTGAGGGAGATTGGTTTGAAGCTCAGACTTCCTCTTAGTTCAAATCACATTCTCTGCAGTGACATTTAAAAGCACAGCATGTCATGACTGGTTTTCAACCATATAGTGTGTCAGAAAGAACCCTTTCAAGTCAAGCAACCACCCATGTGGCAGGCACTGTGTTTGGGATAGATCAGAGAACAACAACAACAAAAAGACCCTTAACACCTAAAGAGGTAAGGAGCTGAGGTGGGGGTTATTTGCCAAATAGCTAAGCCTAGGGTCACCAACAAAGACTTCCCCTCCTTTTCTGATGAGTTTTGCTTTGGGGGGTACTCTCTCAGTCACACAGTTTGACCTAAACTACTACCCCACCCCACCCCCCCACCCCGCACCATTAATGTACATGCTCGATTTGGGGGAAGAAGTTACTAAGCTACACACACACACACACACACACACACACACTCCTTATTTAGAAAAGTGGGGCTTCCTGCTACCTACTTGTATAACAATACCACAAAAGTGATCCACAGAAATCAGGTCACTTCTTCAGGTTAAAAAAAAAAAAAAAAAAAACAACCTAAGTAAAATGAAGATTCTTATCTATCTTGTAGGATAAGAATTAAATTAGATATCTTCACTGGTCTTTGAACTAAAAAATGTTGTTTTGCTCACTTCTATCCCAGTGATTTTCAATATATTCTGCTTTTCTCCAGTTCCTAAAACAGTGCCTGGCATATAGATAGAGATCTGAATACTAGAGTTCAGTACACACACACACACACAGAGCATTTATAGTGAGCCTGCAGAGTGCCACGCCAATAAACATTAGATCAGCAGACTCCTGAGATGTCAGTCTGGGGCCATCTAAGACCCTCGTTTCACCCGCTCTTTCCACCTGCTCCCATTCAGGAGGACCCTTTAAGTGCTAAAGCACATTTCCTGCCTTAAAACAAAGTTGCAACGAAGGTCTAACCCTTTCCTTCTGGTGTACTTATGGTAAAGATGTAAGCAGGGGTGAAGTGTTGGCATACTGACCATATTTCATGGGCTCCATGGTGCTATCAGTCATAAAACAGAACAAAGGGGGAAAAAAAGAAAAGAAAAGAAAACCCTGCGTCATAGAATCAATGAAATAAAGTGTTTTGAGTGGCAGTAGAGTATAATGGTTAAGTCCTTTGCGTCTGGAATCCGACAGACATGGCTCCACCATTCATTACCTTTGTGGCCTTGAGAGGATTACTTAACCTCTATAAAATTGAATTTCCTCACCTCTAAGATGGCCAAAGCTACTAGGGCTGCCTGGTGAATAGTACTGACCCAGTCTGCTTGATATTTTTTAGCTCTCCATTCAGTAAAATAAAATGTACAAACTGACCACTTTTGTACTTCCTTCAGTATTCTATACCTCTCTGAAATAAAATAACTGGAAATAAAAAGATACAGTTGCTGTAAAAGTTCTAATGTTCACAGTTACTGTGTGGCTCCAAAGTGTTTATTTAAGAAAAAAACACATGTTCATGCATTAGTTATGTAAAAGAAAGTATGTAATTTTTTTTTAATTTACAGTTTAAAAAGTAAGCCCAACTATTACCTGCAATGCACATCAGTTTTTGTGGAAGGTATCCAGTTACCACAAAGAAAACAATTCCAACCTTACAGTGTTAAGTGAATGCAAATACTGAGTATACCCTGGGCCCAGTGTCCAGCCTGGGAGGGCTCAGGGATTATTCCTTGCTCATGAGTTTGCCTCTTAAAGGAAGCCTCTTCTTTTTCTTGTTCACTGTGGTTTCCAGCACCCAGGCCTGTGCTTAGAATCTGGTAGGGACACTAAGAATGTACAAATGATTTCTTCTTTTAGCCTCAGACTACCTTGGGCAGGTAGTCTAACTACCTTGGTGATTAGGTGCAGAAATGCGGACTGGAGGAAGGGTTAGCTGGCAGTCCCTGACCTTGCATGCAGAGAACCAAATGAAGCTTGTGGCATGGAAGGGCAAACACCAAACTAACCCTGGGCAAGTACTGAGGACACTAGTCAAGCCAAGTCCTAGAGCAAGGAGTTTGTTACAGAAATACTTTCGGGGCTTTGAAACAATGTTGTGTTGATCGGACTGCTCGGAGTACCATAGCAAATAAAATAATGGATATCACTGTACTTACTCAAAAATGGGTACACTGAGTACTGTATTTAACACAACACCAGACTGGGATGGGAGAAAGAAAGGCCTTTGGTTTATTTCTCAGCATCTCAGCATACCAGGAAAGCTGCTCCCAGAAAATCAACCTGCCCTGGGGAAATTCTCTCCTATATATATCTAATGATTGCAATTAGAGAAGAGACAGACAGACAGACAGACAGACAGACAGACAGACAGAACCTAGAACTCTCTGGTTCTCCTTCTTTGGCAATTCTGGATGGGACTTTGTATATTCCAAGCATGTTCCTGGGATGGAAAAAGCAGTATAGTGTTAGGTGGGGGGAACGGCCTAACACTTATATTATAAATCCAATGTACTACTGAAATTAATTTGAAAAGATCATTCATCGAGAACTTTTACAAGCAAGCCCCCAGCCCCTAACATTTCTCTTCATGCTTTCTCACTTTTCAGGTGACCTTGTACAAGGACTCTGACGTGGAGGACTTTGGGTTCAGCGTAGCAGATGGCTTGCTGGAGAAAGGTGTATATGTCAAAAACATTCGCCCCGCTGGGCCAGGAGATCTTGGTGGTCTGAAACCCTACGACAGGCTGTTACAGGTAAGACTGAAGGTGGATTCTGCATTCCTTGCAACTGACTCATAACTGGAACTTCCTCCAAATCTTTCTGTACATTTGGGGCCCTTTGTGTTTTATTTTCCTTCAAATCTTGTCATCAAGATTTTGGAATTAGTAATAATGAAGAGCTGAATAAAGAATTTTCAGCTCTTAGTAAATCCCATCCTAGTCCAAGCAGTTCTCTGATTTCTTATCAGTGCTTTGGCTGAGCTCAGAGCCCTGCTTCCCAATATAATGTTTATTACCCCACCAGCCATGGGCCACTCATGTGCATCGCCAACATAGATTACAACATCATTATTATGTAGCTATCTGACTCCAAGCCACCACCGGTCTAGTCCTTTCCTGCAGTCTTCAGCATGACCCTCCAGGGCTCTCCTTCCTTTGCCAGTGTCTCATCTGGCCTCTCTCTTCATTTACTGTACTCTCGCCCCCTCTGGACTTGTTTGGGAATGGCACACCCCTGCCTCAATCTGGCTTCCTTTCCCCAGAATGGTGTCTGATTTCCTGCCTGGGCCTTGCTGGAGTTCCATGACATGCTGAGCACAGGCCTTGGCCTCTGCTGCTCCTGAGCTTGCTGTGCTCCTCTCCCAAACTTGTATATTTTCTCTCCCCACTCCAGGCCCTTGCCTCAATGCCCCTGTTAGACCACTCAATCTCAGCGTTCTCCATTGCTCTTGCTTCCTGGGCTCACAGTGTGGCCGGACATCACATGTTTGCTCTGCACCTTGCAACATACTATTCGCTTCTTCTGAAACACTCTTCTGTTCCCTGCCTGCTACCTGCCTAACTTCTGTTTAACTTTTTGGCCGCACTTAAACCAGTGATTTTCCACCTTGGCTGAAAAGCAGAATGTCCTGGTAATTGATCCCAGTGCCCAGGCCAAATCCCAGACCAATTAAATCAGCAGCTCAAGGAGTGAGAAATAGCATCCCTGTGTTTCTAAAGCTCACCAGGTGATCACAATGAGCAGTCACATTGAAAATCACAGGCATAGGTGACTTCTTTTCAAAGTCTTAGCTGGTACCAGTCATCTTACCTTTATACATCATCTATACTTTATGTAGGCTAGTAACTTCTTCCTTTGATAGAATTATTTCATTATGACTGCTTGTTTCCCTGTACATATTTCTCAGTAGATTGTGAACTACTTGAGAGCAGAGCTGATACCTTATTTTCTCATTTGCCATTATACAGTGCTTGATATCTCAATATCTCACACAGTATCTGAAACCAGAAAGCTAAACCTTAAAACTTGATGTAGTATTTAGCATGATCAGGTTTAGTTTCATTTACTAAAGCAAATTCCTGATCTTATGTAGTTTTTAGGGAGAGTATTTTGCAAGCCAAGGAGTGGGTTGGCATCAGTCTCAGAAATGTATTTAGCTGGGATGTGTCTGTCACCAACAGCTCATTCTCACAGCACGAGGCTGCCATGGCCAGGCTGCCTTGCAGGAGTGCATCACTGAAGCAAGTTGTATTGATTAGATAGATAGCTTCAATGCCAATTCTGGTGGTTATGCTTACCTTGGCAATAAAATGATTAGGAGTTGGGGGATACTTCATTTTCTGTACATGCTCCAGTAATTGCTGGGAAAACAACTATGGACCAGTTACTGAGTCTCCTCATTACTGATTGGAGCTATTCCTATTTTCATGAAAGTTGAAGCTGTAAGAGTAAACTATGGATTCAGATTATGAAGGCCACAATAAAGTCTTCAGACTTCATTCTGGCAGTGTAGTAATTTATTGGGCAGAAGAATGACATAATTTTGTAACATAAGAAGGCAACAGCTTAACCTCATAGTTTAATGGGGACAGGGTTGGGAAATGGAAGATCATAATCATGGAGACCAAGTAGGTGTGGCCAACACAACTGTTTCAGACCTATTGTTTCTGCAACAGCTTCAGCCTATCCTTGCAAAGCACTCTGGAAAGAAGTCAGCAGGTTGGATCTGTTGCACAGGAAAGAAGTTAGAGCCAGAGCCAACCATTTCAGTTATTGATGGTGTGCATTTAGATAAAGTTGGCCATAGTGAGCTTTACTAAGAAAGAGAACTACAAATAGAATTCTAACAATAACAACATGCAAAAGACAGAAAACAATAAAGGCAGAATAGTATTATAGGCAAACAATTAAAATACTAAGAGGATCAAAACGGAGTGGTGTCACAAGAACCAGCTGTATTGAGAATCCCCAGCTTAAAGTGAGCCATCAACCCTGTCCTACCAGGAAGTGAACAACTAGGTGTGGAAACTTACAGTAAGCTTTTCACTCGATATTTCTTTCACCTGGCGGATGGCCCAATGTCTAGTTGTCTGACTTGCAACTAACAGGTCCTTCACTGGAGACTTTTTTATATGGGCAGTCCCTTAGGATCTTATTTGACCCATTCCCAAGTTATGCCTGCCTAACCATTATCCACCCTTTGGTTCTCAGGGAAAGCAGGCTTGAAGCAGTCCCTGGTTCCTCACCTGCTAGGAGTGAACTCACTATGCTACCACAAAAGAAAACAAGTTCAAAGATGTTCACTTGTAGATCCAGGACAGGAAGGGCACAATGAGTCAGGAGGGCAGTTCTCTCTCTCTCTGCAAGTCACCAGGTCTCCAAGTCACTAAGTCTCCAAAATAAGAATGGAGAGGGATGGAGGGAGAGGCAGACAGACAGACAGAGGAACATAGCCACTAGCAGCACACACAAGCGAATAGGGTGTGGGTCACTTTGAGAGCAAATGTGTGAACGATCTCTTTAAAAGAAAGATGGGCAAAGCAGGGAGTCCAGCCCAGGTGGCAGGAGAGAAGCTTCCAAATTCTTACCTCTGACCTCTGGCTTGGGCCCTTGGATGTGTGTTCTACTTCCAATCCCCAGGAGGCAGCCCTTGCTATATCATTCTGTTACATGAGGGAAAAGATCCTGAAGCACCAGTAGGTGTTGAGAACAGCAAACACTAAATGCTGAGGAGGATGAGGACTCCTGACCGTGACTGGACTGGACACTGGTATCACTGCCAGCAGTATAATCTAAACGACAAGCCCAGGACCTCAGGAAATGGAGGAGAGAATGAAGAGTCGAGGAGGGGACGCAGGAAACATGACTTTAAAAACTGGTTATTGGTGACAAAGGAGAATAGAAGATGAGCATGTGGAAGGAAAGGAAGAGCTCACTTGTAAGAGTGTAATTCAGTCATGGTTAAGAGCACCAGCTTGGGAACTAGCCAGACAGGCAAGAATTATGTTCTAGCTCCACTCTTACCAACTGCTAGCCAAAGGCAAAACTCTTAACCCCTCCAAACCTCACTTTCTCCGACCGTATATAGGGGTGAATCCAGCAAGCAAAACACCCATAAGGATATGCCCATCTACTTGGCATGAGGATGGGAGGGTGTGTACTTTTCTGCTGCTCTTCAGGGCCTTTTGATCTAACAGCAGAGAATGATTAGTGAGCCCATAGCCATCATAGTAGGATCATAGCCACAGTGGGCCTCTTTGCACAGGGTGTATATTTAAGCACCTTTGAGATTAATCAACTTGCTATGTGTGCTGTGCACTCTGGGGAATTTGGGGGATTATGGATCCAACAACCATTCAAAATGTCTCTTTTTGACCTTTCAGGTTAATCATGTCCGAACAAGAGACTTTGACTGCTGCCTTGTCGTGCCACTCATAGCAGAATCCGGTAATAAGCTGGACCTGGTTATTAGTAGAAACCCACTGGCTTCCCAGAAGTCTATAGAACAACAGACTCTCCCGGGAGGAGACTGGAGTGAACAGAACAGTGCTTTTTTTCAGCAGCCTAGCCACGGTGGTAACCTGGAGACACGAGAACCCACTAATACATTATAGCAACCCTTTTATAAAGCAGGACGAAAGACAATTATCTACATGGTGCTAAAAATCCCTTTAAGATTTCTGTGCCATTTGAGGCACAGATAATCACGTGGCATTAACTGCAAGCACAGGGGTCTTTTAAATCTCTCTCATGGCTCATGTTCACTTCCCTTTTCAAGTTGAAGAGGTTTCTTTTTTGGTGACCACTATGGTAGATGGCAGACAGATGCCTGCCAGGCCCAATGGTAGAGAAAAAGAGAAAAATAGGCTACCCCTCCCAATTAACATCAGAGGAAATTTTTTACGAGTTTCAGCTATCACTTTTTAAAAAAAGAACTGTCTGAAAATATTATCTATGATAATTTCCTTAATTCACTTTGAAATCAGTTTCTTACTATAAAATCATTAATGTAAGAATTTGGCTAATGTAGTTTTTTCATACAGCTGGCTCTCCTAGGGGAGCTGGTATTTGGTAAGCTGCTGGGACTGCTGCCATGAGAGGGGTACAGTTATCAAATCAAGTTAGCTTAAAATGTTTCAGCAATGATGCACGTAGGAGACCATAATAGATGGAGGTAAATGTTTTGCCCAAATATAGGAATGATTTTAACTAGGATGTATGCTATTCCCTATGCAACAAATTATCAAACAGGATATGTCTTGTGACCTGTTTTTTTAAGGACACATTTTTTAATAGCTGAAAAATCTCTGATAATGAGAGTATGTAGTAACAATGAGTATTAGTTATCCTATTTTTAAAATTCAAGACTAAGAATTTAAGAGAGAATGAAGAGTCTATTAAAATGAAATTCATCTTAATGATAGGCAAATCAAACTCATACTGCTTGAGATGTTTTGAAAACTGGTAATACTGAGGGGTGTACAGCACATGTACTTAAAAACGACACTGGACTATCTTTTGTTCTGAGCCATGCCACTTTTCAAAATTGTAAATACATTCTTCACAAAATGCATTGCCAATTATTACCATCCCTCAAAGCAATAAATTGTAACAGTTGCTTTTATTGTTTGTTGGCAACTGTCTTCATTTGTTCAGATATTTTGAATAGCAACACTAATAACTGTTATTTAATAAATATAAAAAATAGATCTGTATATTGATGGTAGGATGTTGAAACAATTATTTTCCAAACATTTCCATTTTGGTGAATAATTCAAGCAACCATTTAGGCAAAGCATTTAAAACACTGTGTCCTTGTTTAAGGAAAAAAGTTCACCTTTCTTTTTGTGCAAAAACAAAAAAAAAATTCAATCACATGTCAGAACCACCAGGGCAAGAAAGTATAAAGCTAAGTCATGTTAAGGAAAAAAAAAAGATCATGAGTCACTTAAATATGTATTTTTATTTGTAACAAACAAGTATTAAACTGTAAAGTATTTTTGTACAAATTTAATACTTTAATAGCATGGTATTTATCGTCTATGTATGGTTTTGGGGAATTCAAAATTGTTGCAAATATTTGTATGGAAAAAAAATCCCTCTATCAAATGAAATAAACAGTGATTTTAAAAAGCC